TGTGTTTTTAAGGTTGTTGATCTGCTGACACAAGCAGATTGGTTTTGTGGCAAGAAACAGAAGGGTGATGGCATTCATTGATCAGAGATTGCCCTGAAGTTCATGCTGTGTTTCTCCTCCTCTCCTGCAACACTCTTAGTTCCCTTCCAGCTCTACTCAGATGTCCTGTAGATTTGCATACCCTGCACAAGGGAAGAGTGAATGGACCAATCTCCCTCCTCTTTGCCTTTTGCTGCTCTGCTGGCTTGTACATCTTGATGTGTTTTTCCCCAGCTCCACTGGAAAGAAGGGGTAGGCTATATCCCCGAGAAGAGGACTCCAGGTTGCAGATGGAAATGTGCTAAACAGAGACCATAAGCTCCGCCTTTGTTGTCAGGGTTTTCCTCATGAGCAGTTCTAAGCAGACCAACACAGGATATGTGCCAATTTCAGGTGTCCCCTTTTCTCAGTGAGTCTAGTGTTTGGGAGTTTGTTCCCATTCTCTTCCACCTCTGCTGACCTGCTTGCTGTCCAGGAGCCAGGATTCTTTACTGCGTCAGTTTCTTATCTTTGCCTTGTGGATTAGGGTAATCACACTGCCCTACCTGACACACTCTTGGGAAAAAAAAACCCTGAAAAGTCTTGGTAGTTCTGGAAGTAGGGGCTTGCAAAGAGTAACACAGTACACTTGAGAGGACTGGAAAAAGTTGTGGTTGTTCAGGAGATCAGTGTTGTAGCTTCTTAGATCCATTAATCCAAAGTCTACTGTCCCATCTTTTCTCCCCACAAATACTCTTTTATTTGCCATGCAGACAACCAACTTCCCAAACAGTCCCACTTTAGAACTGGTGGTTTTCAAATATGTGGTTTGATAACTTGATTTATACTGATCTAAATTTGGGCCTCTGCTGAAAAGAAGATACTGTGATATATTGACACCTTCTTCTCTGTCCCAGCACTTCTGATACTGCTGCTTTATACCAAGCTGACTGTGGAAGCTAGTCTGGCTGAAAATTCTCCCAGCCAAAGTGGTGAGGGGGAAAGCGATTTTCAGCCTGTTTGTCAAACTGCATCTAAAATGGCAATACAGGTTCCAGACACACAAATGTATTGCTGAGGTTGTCTAGTTATCACCAGTTTTGCATCATTAAGTGTTATGCATTCTTGGCCTGATATAATTGCAGCAGATTGCACACATGAACTGTTAATTATTTTATTTTTAAAACAGAAATTGCAGAACAGGAAAATAACATTCCAACATGTTTGCTTTTGGAGCTATCCTACCACAGCAATCTGTTACTTTGATAACAGTTAAACTCACAAGCCCTTGCCTCAACAGGGTGCAGCAGGGTACAATTAAGGCAGCCATCTGTTGAACATATATACTAGAGGAATGAATTGCCTCATGCTTTGGGTTTCTGACTAGTAGTCATGTTCTCTGGATGACCCTGATCTGCTCTGAAGAATGCATGGAAAGATCAGAGTTCAGTGAAAGATGAGCATCCAAATTTGGGACTGGTGACTGGGAGCTTGTCCTATGAGCACTAGGTATGGAGCAGGGAAGAGGTGAAACCTTGTGGGCTTACACATGGTGATAGTAAATGCTACTCTGTGGCAAGAGTCTTAGCTGCTTGAGTTGCTTAGCAATTCAATAGATCTGTAAAACTGTGTTTGCAGACTAAGGCTACCATTATGTTGGATTGATTCATCAGGATGAGCAGCTAAAACCAGTTAAATTCTATCAGAGTTTTCCTGCATTAATTTAAAAATGAATTTAGTTTGCTCTAAATGGACATTCGTTTTAGTATCTTGAAGAACTGACTTTCCTCTATTAAAGCAAAATAATGTATCTATATGTGCCCTAACTTGAACAGTACATAAAGATTAGTAAATAAGAACCCATTAAAAATACTTATAATGTAAGTAACATGGGTCCCAATAGCCTTTCTAATGTCCATTAATGCTTATTCTGAGGATCAGAGCTCATTTTACTGAGCCATTTAGTCAAACCGTGTGATTATTTAGAAAGTTAATTCATGCATACTAAAATCTCGCTTAAGTAATGCAGAGGGTAGGAGGTAAAACTCTATGGAGACTATAGTCCTTTTTGTTATTTAATGATCAGCCATAATTAACTTGCAAATTTGAAATAATTAGAACAAATTAAAGGTATTTAACTCTGCCTCCCTAAAGAAAAATTCAAATTGCACCAAATGCAGCTTTAAATTATTCAAGTCTCAGAGGTCTGTGCTGAGTTTTTTTACAATGCCTTTCCTATGATGAGAATACCAATCTGCTTTTTGTCAGAAAGCATCCTATCAAGTAATTGTTCTTTGTGTGTAATAAATGACAGCTATTCTTCTTTGTAAAAGTATTTCGGTCTCTGAAGACTACATCAGCATTTCCATGGCATTTTAATTCAATAAAACAAAAGGTTAATGTTTTTCTACTTTTAAAAGAATGCAAATATTAGCAGCATTCAGTGGGTCCTGAATGACATTTAAAATTTGCTGTTCACGCTCAGCAGGGATATCGCGATATGAGGCTCAGACAAAATGGAAAAAAACATTCAAGGTGTGTTTGCCTTTGTTGGTGATATTCATAAGGAGGCAGCAGTGCTGAGACTCGCTTCTTTTCTAGCGATGCTACCCTACAACTCCTGCCTTTGTATGTAGGTGAGGTAGGTTAATAAGGTCTTTATTTAGACAGTCTTGTCTGTTGTGTAGTTTCAGGGAAGAGCATGAAAATTCATTGGATATGGTGGTGTCCTGCAGAGGAAGTCATACTAACCGTGCTGCATTTGAGTGAGATGATGGATTGCTGGATCTGAAAATAGAGGACCTGTTTTGTCACTTAATCTCTCTAGCTCTATGTGACTGATCCCTTTAGACCATACATTAGTTTTAAATTTTCCAAGTTGCAGTAGTCACATCATTCATTTTACTAATTATTCCACAGGTGAATGAGTACCTATGTTCTGACATAGACGTTATTTGTTCCTTGTGTTTTATTTATTTAATTTTGGTACACTGTTAATTATTGAATTTTTGTATTTCTCTGCGTTATTCCTTTCTCTCCTTGGTGTCCACACCTCTCAGATTAAGTGTTTGTCATTTTAAGATTGGACTCTCTATTCCTACTTGAGCAAAACTTTAGCGTGAACTTTCTTTTATCAAATACTAAAGTACCAGGCTCAAATTAATTATTTAGTGAGCTATAAATGGAAATACATTTGCTTTTGTTATTTCCTTAAAAATTAGCTTCTGTAACTTCTTCTTGGTGTCTGTTTCTGTTTGAATTCCTTCTGCCATAGTGTTATTTAAACCAGAACTTGGTGTTCTGGAAATAAGCGCACCGTGTAAAAGGTATTGCAGTGAACCAGTTGAGTAATCACCTCCTCATCTACAAGCCAAAGGTCACTGTCTTCACAGATCTGTAGGTTGTAATTAAATGTACTTTAAAAAAATCAGAAAGCATCCAAATAATGATAACCTCAGTGGTTTTAAATGCTGTTAATCATCCAAGTACAGGCAAATAGAATATCAAGTCCTGTATTATCAGAGAAATATGGTCAAGTATTACAACTTTAAGCCTCTTTAAGTAGTTATTAGGGTCCAAACCCACCTCTTGCTGTACTTTCAGTTACAGGAATTAGTAGGTTAATTATTTCATATAATTCAAATAAGATACTAATGTAGTACACCGTAAATTTTAATAATATGTTGCAATGTTATTAGTGGCTGCACAGTTTGAAGCCCTAAAGGAAATGGAGGTTATTCAGAGAAGTTTTATCCAAAACTTCAGCCAGTTATTACAGGTCATAAGCCATTATGTAATGTTCCTGCATTAATAATACAGGAGTAATGCTAATTGTCCAACAGATGCAGTGGGCCCTGTTAAACAACAGCTTACACAGCACATTGATTCAAAACTTTTAAATTAGCTATAATTTTCTGATGGGAACATCAGACATCTGCTTTTTCCTCAGATCTACACCAACTTCAGTAGTGTAAGCTTTTAGGTAAGAGATTCTTGTGAATCAGCCTCCATAAAGCTGTAACCCAAATAGTACAAACTCAGTGGCAGTCTTTGGGTTGCCTATGTAAAATTGGTGCTTAAGCAGGACAACGATTTGTTTAATGTTCTGTTAACATAGGAAAGCTGCATGTCGCTCTCATGCTTGCAAGTAGAGCAGTATAATCTTAGGATTAAATTTGTTCCTTCATGTGGATAATCCAAAGATTTTTATGGTTTTAATTGCTTTTTGTAACACTGATGGGGCTGATGACAAATGTAAGTTGGGAATCCTCATTTAAAGCAGAAACTGTTTCCCAGAGAGCAGAGTTTGAAAGCAGCAGGTTATCTTTACTGGGAGAAAGATGGGTCTCCATAGCCTCCTGTCTGCCCAAAATGTTTTGTGATTGCCTGTGTCTGCAGAGACTGAAGTCATGCTTGCTCCACATCACCAAATCTGCCTCCTGTCTCTGTCTGTGCAATGTTTGTGATCTTTCTGTCTCATCTCCTGTCATCCCTTTTCGTCTTGAATCTATGTATCATCTCTTTGCCTTTTGCAAACCAGGACTCCCATTTTCTCTTCACATAATCTTTGTTTCCCCTTTATCCCAGCAAAGTGAGCATTTTTTTTAATTACCCTTTCTTCCAACCTTGCTCCACTGTGCTGGACAAAGTACTTGCTGTATCTTTGTTCCGCTTGTCATCTCCTAACCACTCAGGAAATCCAGGACCCAATGCTTTAGGGAATGTACCAAATGCCACAAAACTCCAAATATAGTTGTCAGATTGCTGCCAACTGTTCATAACCAAAAAGTCCCCATAAAGTAGTTGGTAACCCTTCAGTTCTTAGGCATCCTGCTTTCAGATATCGTAGATGGATTCAGCAAGAGCTCAACCAGCAGCATGACAATTATGTTTCTGGAGAATGCAGGTGGGGGAGAGGACGGGGTACAGTGTTAAAAAGGCTCAATGCATCAGGTAAAAACATAACATCTCTTTCTTCCCAGCGTACCAGTGTTGAAACGTGAAGATTATTTTCTGAGGACACCTCCAGTGAACAAAACCTCCAGAATACCAGGCAGCAGTACTGGGAGCAGTTCAGGGAAGAAAATGACTCGTTTTGGTGCAAATGTGGAAGATGGGAGAACCCTTCTGATGCAAACTAAGCGAGAAGGCACCAAGTCAAGAAAAGGTAAGGGGAAGCATACTGTACTGCAGGGCTATGAGTGTGCTGATGGCATTTAGAAACTGTGTATGTGTGGTCAAGAGCATATCAGTAAAATGAACAATTACAGGGAGAGGATTGCAAGTTGCTTAAAACAACCCAAGATAAAGTAGCCATGTTTAAAGTATGGCATAGAAAGCCTTGTTAATAACAAGTGATCTTCTTGGCTGGTGGTCCTGATGGAAGGGAAAAAATAACCCTTTAATCTCAAAAAGCTACTTCAACAATTCTTTTTCCTTTCCCAGCAAGCAGAAAATAAGTGCAGTGGGGCTTGCTCTTGAAATGTAATCTTCTTCACATCCTTTTACTCCCCAAATAATGTCTCCACCATCACAACCTGATATTTTGCCACACAGGGATGTCTGTACAGCTAGAATCCATCCTGCTCTTAGCTTAGTACCTCCATTTAAGGAGCAGAGAAGCAGTCTTTCTTAGGAAGAGAAAGGGTTGGGAACAAAAGCAGTTTGGATGTTTCACTCCTGAGCCTTGAACATAATCCTTGGCTCAATTATGAGCTAGCTTTTTTTTTTTATTTTAACTTGTCAACCAGTTTGCTGTATATGTCAGCATAAAAATAAAGAAAATGGCAAAATGAGAAGAAATGTGGTGCAGTTCTCAAAGGAACAAATAACTTGTGTTATTGGTTAAGACCATACCAACATTAAAAAGCAGTCCCTGTGAAGAAACTTTCAAAAGGGTATCATCAGCCTGGACCCAAACAGTGGCTGAGGTTAATCTCTTCCAAGGCACAGCTACAAAAGTTGGAAGCCTGTAAAGGGCTTGTGTCCAAAAAAATCAATTTCTAATTTGAAACAAAATCATTTTTGACTAACAGGGGTTCAGGACCCATTACTTTTGCCGTATAGTCTGCTGACATTTCACACTTTCTGTTGTGCACAATGAATCCTAATAGTCATTTTATAACATTGCTACACCAATCAATTTAAGCAAGAGAAAGCCGTTACAGTTCTGCAAAGTTTCAGGGGCAATTTTCACTGATGGTTTTCTTTTATGTTTTTTTCAGCTACCATTATTTTTTTCTCCTCTTTTCCTCTTCCTTCTCCTCACTCCTCAATACTGTAGTGATGAAATTGAGATTTTTCATAGTTGGATGATGGGTTTTGTTTCTTGGATAGGGATAGTCTCCAAAAAGTAATTTATTTTCCATAGATTTGTGGAAAAAAATCCAACCTGGCCTCTCTTTCATTCAATCATTTCATTTTGTAGTATGTAGGAGAAGTTACAAGCTGACCCTGGCTGTTGCACAAAGCAAGTGAACTGCACCTATGCTGATTTAGTGATTGTACTGGTCAGCATAATCTCTGAAGATGGTGGGTTTCTTTTGTAAACTCTTATTGGGATTGCTAGCTTTGAAGATGTAGAGCTACGTGGCAAAATTTAACTTATAAACATTGTCACTTGCTGCGATATCAGATAAAGTTCAGAGAAATGCTTTCAAGCTGTGGAACAACCTCAGGTCTATTACTGATTTGAATGGCTTGTTTATCACGAGGCAAATTACCTAGCACTAATCACTGAAGTTGAAGTCTTCTGTATTTAGTACCTTTTTAATTGGCTTCCCTCTGTTATATGTTTGGACTCTGTTAACAAGCATACATACATACTTGTGAAGTGCTTTTTCCATCTTTGGGGATCACCAGGGCACAAGGTCAGGTTTCTTAATTCTGGTTAGCTCTGGACCTAACTGTCTCTGTCCTTGCTTCTGCTGGATCTTCCAATCTGTTGCTGACCTGGGTTATCTGCTTCAGTATTTATTTATATTTTTATTAGGAAGCAATGATATAGCATCTCACAAAAATAAAATGAGGGATGCTAACATTATTTTCTGTGGTGAAATTTATAAAATACCATATTGGTTAAGGTGGCCTTTTGGTTGGAAAACATCAGTGCTGGATACTGTGTACAGAAACTCGTCCACTGAAACTTCTTGACAGTAAGATGTTAAACTATTGCTACAGAGTTTTATTTTTCTTATGCCGTGATCTGTCTTGTCTATTTAAATAGAATATTATTCAGGATGGAGACCCTTTCCAAGTACACCTTAGTGCAGCAGCAGTGCTGATGTGGGCCTTTGGGCTCACTATGTAATCTCCCTGTACCACTGGGAATGGTGGGTGTATCTGGGGAACAGTGTAACTCGTGACAGTGCCCCTCCACAGCAACATAGGCAGTTGTACCGGATTTTGGTGTTTTCCTGTTCAACTATCTTTGTCTTCTTAGGTTGTTGCTTAGGTTTGGGTTTTTATTTTATTTTTTTTTTTTAAGACGATAAAATGATTAATTAGGAAACCATTCCCATACTGGAATGATGAAACGCTTTACTACCCACAGGATGGCTCACTTATTGTGAGTGCAGTGAGTTTGGAAAGGGTGGTTTCCTAATAAACCCGCTTTTCCTTTTTCCCTGCAGATGTTTAGCGAAGGAGAGAAAAGCCTTGTTAACCTAGTCCTGTCACCTCATGGAGAGAAAGGGGTGCTTCTGCTCTCTTTACAGGGTAGAAACTTACTGGATCAGCTTAGGCAATCAGCTTTTATTCTTTCTCTGTTGCTTTTCATCTCCTGTTTCTGTTTGCTCCTTAATTTTTACTTCTGTGCTGTAGCAGGTGTATGTGTCTTGTAACCAAAGTTTTTTAGTTTTACCAGCAAAACTTTAAGCAGACGAAGCAATCCTCAAGTCTTAGATCTTTTCAGCAGTAAATTGTTTTTATTGGTGTCACCAGCAGCTATGTCAATTTGTACTAAAATCTAACAAGTTGTCTAGTTAAAAAGCACTGGAGTACAGAAATGTGTGTTTCTCTTCCTTTCTGCCCTGGAAAATTTTGCTTTTGGGCTGGGAAAGTGAATTAGGTTCTATCCGTTGCTTTCTGCAATATTGGGTGCTTTACCTCTCTACATTTCTGTTTGAAGTGTTCCTTTTCACACTCTTCCAGAAATATGTCTGCATTGAAACAAAGAAAGAACTATTTTTCCCTTTGTATCTCTTTGGGGATATGGCATCTGCATGATACTATATAACACGCATAGCTTTCCTTTCCATATGTAAAAGAAAAAGCCAGAGAAGGAAAACTTTTTTAGCTCATAGAATCTGTACTTTTCCAGGGCTGATTTTTCTGTGTACTGCTTGTTTTCTAGTAGATTTTCTAATATAGCTTCTTAGGGATTCAGGATATGGAACTTCTTCCCTTGAGGAAAGACTCTTCCCTAGAATCGAATAGAGTAATTAGTTAATATTAGTGAAGCACTTTGAAGATGTGAAGTACTATATAAATGTTAAGTATTATGAATATTAGTATTATTCAATTCATAAAGATTTCTTTCATGATTATCAACCTAGATTTCTCTTTGCTTACTTTCATCCCATTACTGCTTGAACCAGCCTCAACTGTATTTCTTCATTCTTAGTGTTTACATTTGGAAAATGTAGACTGCTGTATTTCCCTCACTTTCTTCATGTTTTAGTTGTCTGTTATTAAGCAGAAATATACAGCTATATGAGTTTTCTCAAATGAGTATTTAATCTACTTTAAATCATTCTGATACCAGGTTAACCAAACTGAAAACAGTATTAACATTACTGTTTAGAAGACATCTATGATTGCTTCGGGTGTAGCTGGCCTGGCAAGCTTACATCTAGTTCGTTTTTTACTGTTCTTTGCTACTCCAGTTTTTTTTCCATTGGTGTCAGGATTTAGATATCACACCATATTTGAGGTGTTTGTTGGTTTTTTTTTTTTTTTTTTCCCAAGGGTGACTGCATCTATTCTTTTTCCATGTCTCTTGCTTCTCTAGATCATCTGCAATGTCTCCAGTCTCCTACTGTCTTCCAACACCTGCAAATCTAATTAATTTGCTGTCATTTGTATCACCTCAGTTCTGAATGACTTTTCATAAATAATTACCAGTCACTTCATAAATTCATTAACTAATTCCCTTTAGCTTTGAAATACAAATTCTTTAGTCTGAAAAATATACATCTTTCCTCCCCCCCATAATTTTGTTTCATCAGCTTTATATATGCTGACATTATATATCAACATGGTATTCATTATCTCCTACTTGCCAATATTCCTTTTGTTTATCTTTTCTCATGGTGTATTTTAAAATTATTAGTAGCTTGGCCATTTTAGGATCATTATTGATTTAATCTTCTTTGTATATTCATAGATCCGCTTGCTCTTTGATGTTTCTTTTCGCTCAGTTGATTTGCATGCCTTTTTCAAGATGTATTTTTAAACATTTTTTGTTTAGACAGGCACATATTCAGGATTTCTTGCTACCCCTGTTTTATGTCTGTGCAGCCTAACAGCCTCAGTATATTTCTACTTTGTTCCTTTTCCTGTTTTCCATTTCTAGCCCTGGTAATATTTTCAAACTTTGGTCCCTGAACAGTCCCTTTGAGGCTGTATTGGACACTTCAGAGTCCATATATTTTATTTTTCATAGAAGTACATCTACTTTGCTATGAATGTAGTATGTTGACAGTGTGCCAGCCTTTTCTTATATTATGAATGGAATGTGTTCTCCCGTGCTCACCACGTTTTTGTTACTTTGGTATTAGTTTCTTAAAAACCAGCTGCCCCATTCCTTGTCATGTGAAGTGATTTCTAAATATCTCTTGTTTGATCACAAAGCCAAGAGTCTAAGCAAGAGGCTTCCAGTCTTTACATCCATACCCACTCTTCTCATCATGGATTGGCACACTATCAAGTTAGCAGGGACACACAATCAACATATATCCCCATGATATTTCTAAGAGTTCTTTCACTGATAACTAGCTCTTTGTTAAGCAGGATTTTTTCACTGCTTGGTACTGAAGCACAATGCATTACAGCAGGGCAGTAAGAACCTTTTTTTTTTTTTTTTTTTTTTGTCAGCCTCCCTAGAATACACCTTAAAACCTGTGGGTTACTATATTGTATATATTTGAGTACGACTTAAATCAATGCAGTATTTTAACTATCCTTAATCCTTTGGATATCTGTAAATTTTGTGCTGAAGCTGAAATTACAGCCTTTTGTCACTTCATGTTTCAGCATGGATGGTAGATAACGATGCTCACAATGCTGAGAAGTACTTAGGCATGACAGAATTACTTAAAGAGCTAAACACTGATTTGACTTTAATTTTTGCTGAGACTTGTAGTTTTCCCTGTACTTACTGTTTAGTTAAGTGATGCTGGTTGGACAGAGCTAATTAGGCTACATTAAAAAGGCCAAAACCCACAGGCTTTTGTGTAGTAGATCAGATTACTCCTAATTTGCCTATTCAACTTACCTCTCACTACCAGTAAGCAAGTTGTCTGACTAAACCTGATCTATGAAGCCCCCTTCTCAGGTGGGTGGGTGAAAGGTGGAAGATGGGTGGAAAATTAGCTGGAACACCAGCCTCAAAGGATTGTTGTCAGTCCAGCTGTCAGCTAGTTGCTAGTGGTTAAATGATCAACGTTAACAACCTGCACAGCAGAACAGGATACACCTTCAGCAAGTTTTTGCACACAACATCAGCTGGGGAAGCGGTCAGTGTGCTGGAGGGTAGGGCCCAATATTCAAGGGACCTTAACAGCCTGGGTTTGACAGAAACAAAGGGAAATGCCATTTCCTTCAACTGCATTGGACTGATCTCTCGTAACGGGATGAACTAGGTGCTGACAACCTAGAAAGCAATTTTACCAGAAAAGAACTGGGTGTCCTGCTAAGTCAGCAGTCTGCCTGTGTGATGGAGTAACCAAACCTCACACGGGGCCATAACAGCAAAACTGTGGTCATCAGGGTGATGAAGTGACACTTTGCCTCTGATCAACTCTAGTGAGACTGTCTCTGTAGAGTGTCCAGCTGGGGCTCCACAGTGCAAGGAGAACACTGGCAGACTGTAGGAAGTCTAGGAGAGGCAACCAGGACAGCCAGGGGGCTGGACCGTATGACCTTCTGGGAGAGGCTGAGAAAGCTGTGTGCGTTCAGCCTTAAGAGATGACTCAGCACAGATCTTCCTGCTTTCTTCAGCTGCCTAAGGAGAGGGTGTAGAGAAGAGGGAATGAGGCTGTTCTTGGAAGTCATCAAAAATAGAGCAAGAGACAACGGCAAGAAGTTACAACTCAGGAAATTCTGATTAGCTGTACAGAAAACATTTTTCAGTGTGAAAGTGGTCAAACACTGGAACCAAAGAAGTTGCAGAGAGAGGCTGGTTCGCTATCAGTGGAAACCTTCAGAACCTAACTGGACAAGTGCCTTAAATGTGATCTTGTTGGGCCTGATTTGAATGGAGGATTGGACTACCTGACCTCCAGACTTCACTGAACTTTCAACCTGGATTATTTTGTAATTCAAGAGCTATTGGGAGGGAGGAAGAAGGAATGGACTAACAGTTTATTTTATGGAAAGCGAAATACTGTTATAGTGATATTTACGCTTGGAAAACTGACATCTTGTAGCATGCCATGCAAACTGCATCTGTGAAACAAGCTGAGTCCTGTGGACCACTGTAAGAAATGATAATAGTGCAAGTTTGTAAAACTTTGGACAGAAAGATGTAGGCTGTACAGTATGACTTTTTCTACAGATTTGATTCTATGTGATCCTGAAATGTGTGCTATGCGCAGTACTGTCAACTGATGAATTCTTTGATTGCCATTTCACTCCATATGTGACACTTGTTGCAGCTTTTAGCCCCAGTGTTCTGTAATAATGCAGAATCATGAAACATCTGTCCAAAACTTATTAGCCTCTGATGTCTGTCTTGTTTTCACTTAATTCCACAGGGACAACTTTGGGACCTAGGAAAGATGCAGCCACATCTCCTGCACTGATAGGCAGCAGCAGCAAAGAGCTTGCAACCACAGCCATATCTCCAATCCCTCATGACACTTCACGGTAAGATGCTAGGTAATCTCTGGTTTAAGAGTCTACAAACACAGCCATCAAATTCTCCTAGATGTAAGGAAGTGGCTGAAATCTTATGATATTTCATGTTAGCATGAGCTGGATAATATAAACTAGAATCTGCCATATCCTTTTGACATTTATAGTAAGCCGTAAATTGCTTGTTAGAATAAGAAAAGCAGGAGTATGCCAAGTTCTAACATTTTAATTTTACTTAGATTTTGAACAGAAAGTATTTTATGTTCCAAGTCCTGCCACATTAAATACATTTGTAAATAATTTGAATGGATCGTCTTAACCCCTGTTAGGTTTTAAATCTACTTGAAGATTTTAATCCCCCTGTACTTGCCCACCCCCCATATTTTATCAAATGACATTTCTTTTAAAATGTTTTGTACCAGAGTTGTTTTATGTTTAATGACAAGCAACAAAATCACATTAAGTCAGCAATTCCTGATTATACTATATATTTGTGCTAAATACACTCGAAAAGCAGCATTATAACTTCTGCTTCAATGAAGAAACAGAAAGCAGCGCTGTCATTCCACTTACAAGTCTAAAAACAACTTGCCTCCTTTAGGCAGGATTACAATTCTAGCAGTAAGTGCATACAATCCTTGCTTTTCTTTCTCATAGCCCACATTTTCTTATAATAAAATCTTTAGTTAAGCAACAAAGTAAATGCAGATTAAAGTATGAATTTCCTGTATTTTACACCACTAGTTAGGTTACTTTGTGCAGTGGGATAACAAGAATGTATGATCATTCATAAGAAGAGTTAAATGTTTCTTGGAGAAAGAGAGGGCTTGAGTCAGATTTAATCTTCTCTTGGCCCAGTGGACTAGGAAAATATATGCTTGATATCATCCCTGTGTTCTTGGCAGCAGCTGGCAGTTTATTTCTGTCTTCTGAGAGAACTTGTGATATATAATAAGTGAAAAACCACTATCAATATTGACAAATTTGTACTTACTTGCTATGGAAACACTTTTTTTTTCCTTCTGAAGGAAGGGATAATAATTCTAGGAGGATTTAAAAACTGAGATGGATTGGGCTCTGTTTCCCACAAGTAACTGTATGTTTGAACAAACAAAAACCACAACATTGCCTAAGCATTTCTCGTAGAAGCAAGGGTTACCTTTGCAAGCCAGTAATATCAGGTGAGAGTGTGTAAAAATACTCCTTGATACTGTCTCATAGTGATAAGTTGAGATTCCATTTGAGCACTGAGGAGCAGATATAATTATTCACAACATACAACAACTGCTCAGAAAATGGAATTTTATTCAAGAGGATTGATTGTCCTATCTTTTCCACAGAGGGGAATAAAATATTTATTGAAATATGCTGTTGGAAATCATATCGGATAACGTGATCAGTGAAAGGAGTCTGATTAGCTGTCATCCTTAAAGGTTTATTTGACCAGTTGATGACAAAATTAAAAAAAACCTGTATTTCCGGGGTGCTCTCTCCCATGCTTTCTTGCTTTCCTTCTCTCTATTGGTGCTGTAAGTATAACTGACCAGTTTAGGAGCCATGTTGTGCTTTTCCTTAGTCATGGCCTTCTCTAATTGAAAATGGTAAATGGACAAGTATTTCTGTGGAGACTTAAAGCTGATCCTATCCTTCATGAAAAAACCTGCTTGGGCAGCAGGTCAGTCTCAATTTATCACTGAATGGTTATAAGCTTAGACTGCAGGTTTAACTAACTAAATTAATCAATATTGAGAATTATTGCTGCTTTTGTGCCACTAAAGTTAGGTTTTGTCAGCATGTTTGTTATAATCTGTGATCTGGGGTGGGGGGAGGAGTTAACAGCTTAACTACAACAGTTGGCACAGGCCTGAAACTTGCAGCACAAAGCCCTAGCCTAAGAGTAAATTTATTTATTCAGCAGTACGTGTAAACCTAATTACTTTTGACTATTTAAATTTATAGGACTAGATTCAACTCGTGTTTGTGCCAACTTTAACTAGCACAAACCCTGGCACCCGGCAGTAGCAGCAATGGAAAGCCTGCCAGGGAGAAGGTGTTGGAAAGCGACAGAAGCTCCCTGCCAGCACGAGGCACCAGGGTGCTAGTGCAGCTTCTGGGGAGGGCTGGCTGGGTAAGCAGGCATGGCAGGTAGAAGATGCATTAGCTTGATAGCCTGTCTTGGCAGAGCTTGACTGGAGACTTCAGTGTGTTACAGCTGCCTCCTGCTTGAGGAAGAATCTCTGCACCCTACTTTCTTCTCTCTCTTGGAATGAATCATGTCTGGGACAAGAGTCCCTAGAAGGTAAAGCTGTGTGCTCTGAGAGCCTTAGCGCTAGACCTGTAGAAGGAGCAGACTTGTGGAATGAATGTGCACAAGGTGGTTTCAATGATTCTCTGAAAGAAAAGTAACATTTCCTTATGTGGCATCCTGAGTTGGGCTAATAGTGGATTTGTTTGCCCATTATGCTTCTATGCATGCCCGTCATTGCTTTTTGTAATACAGCCAAGCATTGCATGTTTGGTTATCCAATGTTCTTAAGCTAAGTATCTACACCTGCTTGAGCCCCTTGAAATTATGTTCACAGCAGGTCTGGAAAGCTTTTCTACTCTGTGTGCTTATTTATCTAGACCAAAGCCAATATATTTGAATAACAAATTACAGGCAGGGTTGGGGCTGGGCTAATTTGGAGGAGTAAGTTTGTTCCTTACCCCTAACGCATGGTTTCTCTGACTGTTTTAAATGTTACCTTTCTGGTGACCAAAGACATCTTTTTCCTAACTGTTGTTTGCCCAGAAGAAAGACTCTGGGTTTGGCTGGGAGCTGGAAGGGAGCTGGAAAGGGGAGGTAGTGGCTTTCATTTAGTAATGGAGAAATTTTTACATAAACTAGAACTTACTTTAGGTATAATCAGGTATAATAATTTCAGCAAAACAAGTGTTGTGTTGCAAAACAGAAATGAAACTGCTCTTTATCAAAGTATTAAGTTACTCTTTAAATAAAAAAAAAAGTCTGTTGTAAATTGTGCCTTGTGAAAGACCATTTGATTTGATTACAGCCCTGTTGCAGTTGTGAGGCTCTCCCCACACAGAAACAGTTGTAGTGTCGAGTTTGACACAGTAAGTCCTAGAACACTGCAGATAATCAAGCACTTAAAAAGACACAGGCAAAGGTTGTTCTACTCACCATGGAAACAGATAATTCTCCCGTAACAATTTCCACTAAGGAGTGAATTTAAGAACAGTTAGGTAAATTAAGGGATTGAGTGATAGTCTGGGATTTCAGCATTAAGCCTGTGTTTTCTTGTTGCAGTTTTAAATCGGAGTTTTAATGCTAGCTGAATGCATTGTCTTGGAGTGAAATTTTGTGTAACCATTAAAATAAGTTCCTGCAGTATGAATGCTATATTCAAGCTGTATTATTATCTGTTAGACTACAGTGGCCTGTTGGAGTTTTTATAAACACAATGTATTGTGTAAATTTGTGGTTAGGGACATTTTAAAAACAAAACTATTTACCTGGTTATCCAGCACATCTCAAGTGAATGGGTATTCAGGGACTTTTAAGCAAATTAATATCTGATATAAAATATAATGTGCAGTGTTGTATACTTAGTAACACACATTAGAATAGTCTAGAGTAGATCTGTTATGCTGAGTGTTAGAAAATATGACAGTGATGACATTTAAGCTTTTGCCTTACTTGTGCAGTAGTTGCCTTTCAGATATGTGGACGCTGGGTGTTTGAATAGGGTTCTGCTCTTAAGCCAATACTGTGAAGTTCCTTCCTTCTTCTGTAGCATCTAAGAAAGCACTGCCAAAGAAGAAGATTCCTCTCCCACCCCTAGTCCCTTAGGATCAGACACTGTTCAAGTTTCAAAAGGAGAAAACTTTCATTCCAGATCTAACTTACGAACATTTAAAGGGATTAAAAGTGTATTTGGAACGGGGTGGTGAGTTAAGTGCTGAACATGGTAGGAGACGCAAGTTTTGCCTACTCACTGAGAAAGCCAGCAGCACAAAAAGTCCAATATAGTTCCATATGCAAGTGATAAAACCAGACGTTGGCAAATTAATCTTTCTTATTCACAGTGTAGGTTGTTAATTGTTCTCTCTGCTGGCTGTCGATATAATGTGAAGTTTTCATTCCCCATTCAAGATGGAAAAAGTTGTGGCTGAAAATGTTAACATTTGCATTTTTATTTGTTGATTTATTTAAAGGACAGCCTCTCTTACAGCAATCCATCACTCAGTGACACCCCAAATATGAATAATGTATTGTAGACTTGCGGTTACAATGTGTAATAAGTGCTAGAGACAGTAGAAGAATGTTAACTATGTTGCAAATGTAATATTTATTGACTCATAGTTTATTGCTTTCGAGGTTCAATAATACTGACCACAGGACATTAATATCACTTATCTTGATTTTAGTTGGGCACCTCTTTATGTAGAAATAACCCATCTATCTCATACTTACAAAATAAATGGGAATTTTACAGCACTTTGTAAGAAGTGCATTATAGGTTTCTTTGCTTAGTGCTCACAATTCTCCTTTTCTGCCTTCTCATTTACTTATATCTGACATTGATCCCACTCCAATTGCCTGACCCAGACAGTGAGCACCTCAGCACTCTTCTAGAGGCTTTATTTACTGGCTGCATTATGATCTTGTGCCTCTGATGGTGGTTGGACCAGGTCTCTCTTCCCGTTAAGGACCAGTATGAAAAGAGACTGTTAGATAGTTTTCTGGTGCTTCAGTTTGAAAGGACAGTGTCGGAGAGGCTAAACCAGATAACTTCTCTTTTGGAAAGACATGCATAGCAAATCTAAGTCATCTCTCTTTTAGGGGATTGTGGCTATCAGAAGTGTTTAACTAGGTCAACAGGGTTTTTTATAGACTTGGTATGTATTTTACAGAGAAACTTTTAATCAATGAATAGAAATACAATTTTGGAAGAACAATTTTGGAAGAGTCAGTGTTTTTCAGTTATACTCTACATAAGAGAAAAATTTGCAATA